ATATTTCATGCTGCAATAGTTTAAACGAGTCGAACCTATCGTTTTGCATGCGATATATGACATTTCTGTTTTAAGGATGCACAATGACTATGTAATTCTGGAAATTTCCTACCATACGATAATACGACGACGTACATATTTCTGTATCTCGTATTTATACATTTTTATACACGTATACGCAATATGTACAGCAAAAACGATACGACAGTATGATCGATTAGCAATCCGATGAGCGAGCAGCGACCATTATCAGTGAAAGCCACGAAAATACGTAGCTTCTTCACGATATTTCCTAGTTGTATTTTATTTGTACGGCATTTTCACCCAAAACCGCGCGACGCGTTCACGTAACACCTTTTACCGTTTCTTTGTCCCATAAACGTCTGCTTGAAAAGGTTTCTAGCACCCTTTAGCGCGGCCCTCTTCGTAGCCTCTCCTTTCTTTCCCTTCACTCCCGTAAGATCCGTGCAGGTCGAGGAAGAAAAAGCCGAAACGAGAAAGAAAAGTAGAAACTACGTCGTGTCCGCTCTTTATCCGTTGTGGCGAACTTGTACCGCCGTCGCACCACTTGCTTGACGTTCAAATGCTCCCGTTTGCGCAAGAAAAAATCCTGTGAATTGATCAAGATGAAAGTAATACTGCTTGGCCAGCAGCTCGAGTTCAGGCCACCTCGCATACTCATTGTGCATCCCTTTTTGACTCGACTGTAGCGAGGCATATCCTTGACTTAGTACACTTCACCTACTTTGTAATATGGGACCTTGATCTTGTCGCATACAACGGTAATCGGAAAAGTGACAATGCGTGTGTGTTGCACTAGACGCGTAGATTCAGAGGGGGAATAAGAGCGTAATGACGCGTGTTGAGAAACTGTTCGAAGCGAGGACGCAATGCCACAGAATAACGAGAGCAATCCGCCGTTCGCCTCACCACCTTCAGACATCTTTTCTACTTTCACGATATGGTCACTGTACGCATCGTCGACACCTACTATAGAGGTTATGTGTAACCTGTGAGTTAGAGATCAAAAAGCGGAAATTGTCCGATTTGCCGACACAGCATAGCCATTGGTGCATCGTTCAAATTCTTCACACTTGGAAATTAATCTATACCGGTGTATTGTATGCTACAGGACATGAACCGATTAAAGCTTGGCTTCGCTCGAGTCTCGTCAAACGAAGGCCGTAGAGGCGCGCGAACACTTAACGACCGATGCGCGCGATCCGCCTATGGAAGAATCCTAGAAACGGCCAACGATCCACGGATATCGGGATGCGTTGGAGAAACGAACGAAACGAAATGGAAAGGAGAGAAAAGATACGGGGGAACGAAGGAAAAGGAAAAGGAAAAGATTGAGAACGCGGTTTCACACTCTGTTGTTATTCTGTGGTGTATCGTCGAGCTTGAGAACTGAAAAGGAACTTGCTGTTGTTGTTGCTGTTCGTTTCGAGAGAGAAAAAAACGCGCGGTTCTAGTAACGATCCTTCGGAACGCAAAGTGTCTTCCCGACGCGCGACAACATACGGACAAACCGCCGCCACCGCCTTATCCTCTTACAATTAGACGTAGGGTTTGAGAGAATCGTCGTGCCTTTCCTAATTCAGCCTGCCAGCTATAGCGAACGTGCACACTTATGCCGCTCATCTTCTAAAGACATACCTAATCTCTTTATATTTTTATACGTGTATCCATCGTGACGTGTAGCAGTAGGTCGGCTTCGTTTTTCCTTCCTTCGTCCTAGGATATATATTATTACCGTATAACGAACGTCGACCGTTCGTCGTTCCGCGGTTCGTGAAATACGAAGCGACATATTCTAGCTTATCATAGATACCTCTCTCGACCTCAACGTATAATTCCTAGACCCTTTGAACGTTTTTCAACGAAAACGCAAATCCCGTTCGCAAATCGCGTTACGATGCACTCGTTCGTTCCACCGCTTGTCTCTGTGACTCCTTCCTCTCTCTCTCTCTCTCTCTGTCTGTCTGTCTCTCTCTCTCTCTCTCTCTCTCTCTCTCTCTCTCTCGTATTTCCTCGATCGGAAAAATCCGTTTAAAGAGCAGAAGAAGAAGAAGAAGAAGAAGAGGAGGAGGAGGAGGAGGAGGAGTGTAAAAGCAGAAAATGCGATGGATAGGAATAAATAGAAGAGGAGGAGGAGGAGGAGGAGGAGGAGGAGGAGGAAGAAAAGGAGAGGAAAGAGAAACAGGGTAGAAAGGAAATATCGAGTGCATGGCGTAACGCGATTTATAGAACCGTTACCCTCCTCCGCGAACGAGACGAAACACGGACCTCTTTAGCCGCGATACGCGACAAACAGTGCCTGTGTGCAAGTGTGCCAAAATCGCACGGACTGAAAATTAAACGTATCGCGTTCTCGTGATCGTGATGAACCTCGGTAAAGTTCTTCCGTGTCGCGACGAAAGATCGTGGACGAGAGAAAACGAGACGAGCACACTCGCGATCCCCGATCGGTTGAACGTTTTCGTATCACCTCTATGTAGACAGTAGATAGACAGACCGAAAACGTATCAGCACGCCTCCTCTAAACCTTATGGAAGTGGTATAATTGTACTAACAAACGTCACACGGTTGATCTCACAAAGATAATGGAGTACATGAAAATTCTTCGTACGTTGACAGGTTTTCTAAGTGAATGCTGAAGTCTCGCCTTGTTTCCCTCGAGCCGAAATGAGAGCGAGCCGCACGCGCTGAATATCAAGCAACTGCAATATACAGACATTTTACCGGCAAAGTAGTTAAAGTCTGACCGAGTGGCCAACCGTGACTTCCTACATAGCGTATTCTTTTTATTTCTTTTTTTTCTCCCTTTCTTTCTTTCTTTCTTTCTTTCTTTCTTTCTTTCTTTCTTTCTTTCTTTCTTTCTTTCTTTCTTTCTTTCTTTCTTTCTTTCTTTCTTTCTTTCTTTCTTTCTTTCTTTCTTTCTTTCTTTCTTTCTTTCTCTATCTCCTACTCTTTCTGTGGCAACACATACTCTTATTTAGGATTGCGTCGAAAGGGTAAAGCCGTATATGTTGTTACGATTCCGGGGAAATATGTTGGATAACAAGAACCTTCGATCGAATATCTATCTAACGTCGATTTTTCTTTCTTCTATCGATATTCTCCTTCGAAACTCGTTTTATACGGTTTTCTTTTTTGTTTTTTCTTTGTTTTTCTTTCCTCCCTATTGATATCCAGCATATTCGTCCCTTGCGCCGGCAAAAGAAATGTGAAATTTATGTTTAACCTTGCGATTTTCGAATTTTTCTTCGGCGCAAACCCGCTTATTTACGAGAACGTAACGCGAACCACCCCCCCAAGTCTATAAGGAAAGAAAAAACAAACAATACGAAAAAAAGCAAAAGGAAAGATGCTTATATCGATTCTTTCGTCCGACCGAGAATGCATTTCTTTATGACGAATGTACATGTATATCGCCATATACATATGCGTGTAATTTATGTAAATATATTGTTCCCGACATATAGCTACAGTATTTGCATTCGTAAAGTATTTTGTACAGCTTCGTAACATGAAAAATAAACTGTATTTCATAAAAATGGAAGAAGAGCCGAGGACAATTTAATGACGATCGTCGAACGTGCGTGGTGAAACCGTGGATGAATCTTCAAAGAATCGATATCAGACGTCGTATGCCTATTTATCTCATAAATATTACTTCCGTGAATTTAATCTTACACATCCCTCTCTTCGTTTCTTCGTACGTTTTAACATTCGCGCTTTATATTTTCGTACAATTTTTTCATTGGTGTGATTCGACGAATACGTCGTGCATTTCCCTTCTTTTAGATCCTGAATTGCTACCAGACACGATGAAACGTCTAATCAGAGGCATTTTTCGAAGTGACGTGGTTTTTTAACAGAAATATATATTTATTTAAACGAAATAACACTGTTGCGGCTGTTACGGCTGTTACGGCTGTTACGGCTGTTACGCTTGTGTCGTTACACGGAGCGGAATGTCGGTTAGTTGATAGGAGGTTGGAACGTACGAGAATACGTGGTACTCCAGGTTAGGAAGGATTAGTCGTACTCGAGGTTTGGAAGGATCTGAGGAATTTGCTTGTCGTAATGTTCGATTTAGCTGATTCGTTACTAACGTTACTCAGGAGAGGTTTGGTTGAAACGAGCTAGTCTGACTTTACAATGCTACATATTCTAGTATAAATAAGAAGTTACAAGTTGCTTCGATCCAACGATCGGTTAAATTTATAGTTATATGGTCAATTCTCGACTTGACGTGGATATTCCTTCTCTGTTTACGCGACGAGCCACGGGGGTTAGTTAACGTTCCGACTGGCCTCTGCCAGTTACTCTTAACGTTCTGCTAAAAGACCAGGCCCCTTATATACCCGACAAAACCGTGGGTTTTGGTGGTGGGGACGCTATATTTTCCTGAGAACGGAATGCGCTCATCTGCCCTGTCTGAAGGACTTTCCAGGGGATGTCGGCTAGGCTGCGTACGTAACAATACTTGAACTATTTTTAACGTATAAACGACACGATGCACGTAGAAAGAATGTAAGTAGCCCCCTTTTCCCTGGGAAAGTCCCAGGAAGTGGCCAGAGCAGTACTCTTGTCCTCGAGGACGAAGAAATCTCGCGACCTCGCCACACATTCCATTATATTTCCTTTTCTTCCCTTCGCATGCCTTCTTTTAACACACAAAGACGAAAAACATAGAAAGTGACGGCTAAAATCGGTAATTTCCCGTCGGCCGTTGGGACTGTGCAGCAAGCCTGCAGTCATCCTTGTTCAAGGCCCCCTGCGGCTTACACTCGGCCATCTTGCAATAATACCCGTCCTCTAAGACGAAAGATAAATTCTCGGGTATTTCTGCGGACAATCGTTATATCCAAGGTGGTTAGGTGATTGATCATCCCGCACGTTACGCAAGTCCGGCTACCAAAGTCAACGTCCATGCAAGAGAGGCTCTTTAGCAGACTTTAAGCGCCTTTACGCACCGTCGGCCAATTCGGAAACTTGGCCAAAAAGTCGAGATAGAATTTTTCAACGATCGACAGTGCGTAATGGGAATTTAGTTTACTATTAAGTTTACATGGACGATACACCACCAGCAACATACAGACACACATCTTTCAGACAGTACACACCCAAGACATTCAAAAATACCATTGATTTTGCAAAACGTCTTCATTCGGCGTCGTTTAACCGTTGCGAAAATGAACCGTCGAAAGAGACGAAACGAGCAAGCGTTGACTTTGTAATTCATCGTTCAGACGATCTCGAACATTGCGTACGTTCCAAACCGGATCGTTGTCGAAACTGCGTGCCTTCCTCTTTTCCACCTTCCACATTTCGTGCGTATTTTATTAGAAGAAAAAAAGAGCAAAAAGAAAAGCGAGGAAATATAGGTAGGAAAAACCGATTTGCTAGTTTTTCGATACGAGTTGAGCATAATCTGGTTAATATGAAACATGTACATGCCGAACGATACGATACAGCTATCGTGAAATTTGTAGCGACGAATGACTGAACGAACGAACGAACGAACGAACAAACGAACGAACGAACGAACGAACGAGTGAAAGAGCCAAAGAGCGAATGTGTGTGAAAGGGGTAGCGGGACATCGTAGGAACGGTCGGGGAGAGAAGTGGCCTTGGATTAATTGACGCTCAAAATTCCAAGTTTTTTCGTTTCCGCGAGTAGTCTCTAATTTCCGATTCGGCTATATTCCTCCTAAAGACAAGCAATTCGACTAGAGAACTTTTTAACGATCCACGCCTCACCGAATGGTAAATGGTATTGTAAAAGAAAGTGGGAAAGTAAGAGATGGGAAACGACACGCAAGTAATACGTGTGAAGATAGGAAGGAAAGAGAAAGGGAAACAACAGAACAAGAATACGTTTATACGAATAAGATTTACGAATATAGCACATGTGTAAATGACTAACGCTCTTTGCTGCACTCCAATTTCCCGTCCGCGAACGTTCAAACGATCGTTTAGCATTTTTCTTTCTTTCTTTCTCTCTCACCCCTTTCTTTTCTCCCCCCTCTCCGCGCCTATCCACCGAAAAGAAACTCTTTCACGGATCGTCTATCTTACAAGAGAGGCGTGCGTTTACTTTAGGATCTTTAGAACACGGAGGGCAGTAAATAGCTGATAGAAAGTGAATAGAAATATTATTTAAAATAATTTTAAGAAGCAATAATAGTAATAATTTTGTATTAATAAATATGTTAAAACTGCCTTGCATACGTTGTATCAATTTATTTCCGAATCCTCTGTAACGAAAGGCAACGAATTGAATCGAATCGAACCGAACCGAACCGAACCGAACCGAATCGAACCGAATCGAACCGAATCGGTGAACGTGCTCGTTGTGTATGCGTTTTAATTTTCTTTCCTTTGAATAAAAACGTTGCGTACAATTTGGCTTGTTAGCGAGCAATAGACGCGTTCCACGGACGTGTCTTTTTCACTACGTAACTCGCCGCTGTTTCGCAATAGGTGTGCAGTGGTGATAGAATGGTGGTGGTTAATACGTATGAACTGAATTTCATTTGATGATTTGTCATGTTTAGCGTTTGTTAGCAACTACCTTTGTTTTGTTATTTCAGCCCCATGGACCCATCCGTACCTCCCAAGCACCCAGTAGTGAGGTACGTTGCTGCATACCATAATACCAGGACCCGTACATTCTAATTTCACATTTTGTCCCGTTCGTTCTTTTTTTCTTCTCTGTCTCTTATTATTTTTCTTTTTTTCATTCTTATTCGTTACCACTTGGAGTAGTAACGATTACAACGATTCATCACTCTACGAAATATGTACTTATATCTGCTAGCGCCGCAAAATGATTGCGGTTCGAACAACCACGAATAATATATTTATATATATATACACATACGTACGAACGTACATAACGATTGCAACGTCGATTGAAAGTGTAAGTTGTAACGCGACACAAACTTCTTTTGCGTTTTTACGT